TCCTAAGTATCTGGGATTATAGGTATTTGCCACCATGCTTGGAAGCTATTTTAAGAAGAATATTATTTCAAAGTGGGGTCAAGTGAAACTTCAGTTCACCAGAAAGTTAATAAAGGGAAACAATTCAAACAAATTACTGTGGGTGGGGTGGGTATAGAACCCTTTTTCCTAAACACAATGCTGAGGTGGTTATTATGAGGTTTGTACATTTTACACAAACTCATTTGCAATAAAATGTCTGATCCCACAAATAGGAATCAGTTATTCTCATTTTCCTCTGCTTCTTGCTGATTCTAATGTTCTTACTGCTCACAGGATATCTGAGCCTGACAATGAGAATTGAAGTAATCTTCTTACTGTACATCAGGCAAAGAACACCAACATGAAAAAATGTAAAATACCAAATACATCGTCTGGCTCTCTTTACAAAAATATGAATTTCATGAAAAGGAAAACAAATGAACTCATGTAGAGATGATCAGTATGAAGTGCAGTTCGAGGACTCTGAGGTCCTTCCTTGCCTAACTGACAAGAATTTAAGATCACACAGAATACGTTGTTATATTTTGGGGGCACATATGATAGGAATTTTGGATTCACATGGCTCTAATATTAGTTTGCTGTTGTATGTCTGTTGGACATTAATGTACAACAATGTATTTCATGACAAGTGGAATAAGGTAGAGAGTATTAGTACACAGATATTCATCATACACTCTTGCTTATTAAAAAGATTTTTTTTCTAGACAATGGAAATTTCCATAAGAATATGAAACATGTTTATTGTTGTATTCAAAGGACAGTCCAATGATATAACATTCCAGTGCAGGTTTCTTACATAAATTAATGAATGGATCAATTAATGCTATGATGTTTTATCTTAAAGCACCTGATACAGTGAATTAAAACACTCATGCACAAAATGTACACAGTACTTTAAAATAATTCTCAGTCATGAGCATCAGCTACAAAGTAACTTGCTGGAAAAACAGGCAAAGATAGACATCTCTCACAGAAGGTAGGAACAGTATTTTCACAACTACATTGTGAAAATTTGTATGTGATTTTTTTATTTCCATATAAATGTGTCCTGCGTAAATGGGTGACTGAAAGCATGTTCACCAAAAGTTTTTAAATGATGATTACATTTTCCCAATTTCCATTATATATTTTGCCTTAACTCTCTCATTTTGAAATAACTTTGTAACATCTTTTCAAAGCTATTAAGAGTGGTATCATGTTTTATATATACATATAAAACTGAATTAAACTATTGAAGAGGAAAACTCAGAGTAAATAGGAGAGTAAATCACGCAGACACTTCTAAACCTAATGATGCAGTAATGACTGTGCTGTTCGCTCATTAAGCCTAACCCCACTTGCAGTTTGTTCTGGTAACACAGAGGAGAGCTTTTATGCTCTTTCTCATTTGCTATCTGCTTTGTTTGTCCTTATTTTCCTGGTATTCACAGAGGATGTCTGGGGGCTGGAGGAGCTTGCCTGATAATGATAATTAAAGTCTGATTCTCAGTGTGCATTCAGGCATAGTAATGTAAAAGCCAAAATGAAGATCTTTTCTGATGCCATTAGATTAGGCTACAACAGAGCCTCAATCTATACACATTGCCTGTCACATCTCCCTGACCTTGTATATCAAAAATCCAGAAGTTCATTGAACTTATTTGTGTCTAAAAATACACTCTTTGTTTATAACTCCATTTTCCCCAGTATAGCTAAAAGTATGATTTCACATTCTCCTTCTCCACAGGATAGTGAAACACGCTGCTTAAACTGTGTCAACAAATGCAGGCAAGAATGCAGGTGAGAACGAACTTTCTTATACTGATTTTTAGGAAAATAATTTAGTCGACACACCATGAAAATTAGCATGGAGTTTCCTCAGAAACCTGAAAGTAGAATTATGATTTATACTACTGATAGTACACACAGTGAAATTGAAGCCAGCATACAACAGAAATCACTTCAAAAGCAAGCTTGTCTGATAAAGGCTGAGGGCAGCACTAACCTACCGACATTTATAATTTGCATTCAACAATCATAATGCTTTTCTTTTAACAGTCCAAGAGATCCCATACCTGAGAGCAAGCCAAACAAGATGACTCTCCGGAGACAAACAGGACCATGGCTTCCCTGGCTCTCTTCTCTTGGAAGGTCATTAAATGGTTATAATCAAGTTATTTTGCTTAAACCTTATTTAAAAAAAAATCACATAAGGAAGCATTTATTTGAGGTTTCAACATGAAATCATACAAATAAAAATTGTATAAACATAAGTCCACACTGAGTCATAACACAGATAACAAAGGACAAAGTAAAAACAAAGAAACTAATTGGTGGCTATATACCAATATATATATTGGACAAAATTCCATCATGTACACTAGAAAGTCTTTTACAAAATAATCATCTTAGATCAACAGAAAATCAAGCAATCTTCAATGTCGTCCTGTAAGATTATTTCTTTACATCTGCTTTCTTCCAGTGTTATCCTTAATTATGTTAATGATTGCCACCCCTCTAGATGCTTTGCTGTCTGTTGACCTCATCCACAACCCCTAGCACCACCTCATCCACCAGCTGTAGCACTTCTTCCTCCTGTCTGTTGCTGCTGTTGCTGTGTATATACCTCTTTGGGTTGTGCAACTTTGATTTCACAATTCCCAGAACCTATTTGATGGTATAGGCTTTCTAACAACTTCTTTACTGGCTCTTCATTTGTGTATGTGATAAAACAGAACCCTCTTCTTTTGTTTGTTTTTGTATCCATGGAAAGCTCAATGTTTTTAATCTCTCCAAAGTCTCCAAAGTATTCTTTAATTTGTTCTTCTGAAGTATCTGGGCTCAATCCACCCACAAAAACCTTTTAGGTGTTCTTTCCCTTTTAAGGCTTTGGCCCTTTTAGGATCTATCAATTTGCCATCCAGTTTTCTTCTTTGAATTCCAAAACCTTATCGACACTAGCAGCATCTTTGAAAGCACAAATCCAAAACCTCTCGATCTTCCAGTACCTGGATCTGTTTTAATTGTGCAGTCTACAGCTTCCCCAAATCAAGAAAAATGGTGAATCTTTCTTGCTTGTGTCCTAGCTCAAGCCTCCAATAAACATTTTACTGTCATCTTGATGGTTCTTGCTCTTGGAGCCCTCTGCAAATTCCTCTACGTTGTTGTATGCATTCATATCCTCCATGGTGGCAGAGCTGTCGGTTTAAAACTTGTAAAATTTGTCTTCTAGGGCATGTGATATTTTCAAACTAAGTTCCTTATGATAAAAAGATTCCAGCCAAGTCCTACTACAGGAAACCCAAAGCCTCCCCGCTCACCCACAGATGGACTAGAGAGCTTGTGGTTCTTCTTGGGCCATGGGCAGTGCTCCTTATCAACATGTAAGAAATTAGAGAAGACTGATTATCATCTTTCAACTCTCCCACAATATTTTTTTTGATACCACTGCTCTCAGTAGAAAGATGTGGCAAGGATACTGGGCATAGGGTAAGAGGTATCAAGATTAGAAGATTAAAGAAAAAAGCTGACAGAAAGAAACCATTACCTAGCAAGGCTGATCATGAGGGACGCAGAATGCCTGTGAGAAGGCTAGTGCTGTGTAAATAACCTATAAACGTTCAGGACTCAGGTGTGGTCAGGTGTTTCTGAGTATCTTGTCAGTAATAGTACTGACAAGCACATTCTATGAACTCAGACTCTGTCTGAATCCTAGTCCCTCCTAGTCACTGTATGTGTCTGTGCTCCCATGTGTGCATGGGGGCGGGGGCATATTCCCATGAGTGCATGCATGGAAGCCAGAGATGAGCCTTGGATATTATAATGACTATTTTGGTAAACTGTCATGATGCTTACTCTAGTTGAGGGCAATCTCTGTGACTAAGATGGACCCCACTTGTTTATCTCAAGTGTCTTACAAGACTCTTTGTCTCAGGACAAGCTGGCCCCCTTAGACTGTGACAATGAAAGAGGAAGGGAAGAGCAAACAGCTTAAAGTATTAAAACAATGAGCACTTGAGATCAGCTAAAAGGTCAACACTTTTGACAAGGTCACTATGGTAATCCCATGATATAAAAGTGCCTGCACAGGTCCTTATACTTGCACATAAAGCAGTTTACCCACTGGTACTCACTGTGCTCTAAATATTTTCTCTCTTAATTTTCTATTGTATTTTTTGAGTTATAGAAAAAAATCTAGCTAACCTAATAACTGCTTACACTATTTACTCCTTTAAAAGACTTCAGTTGAGCCTGGCTAAGAAACTCATGTCTCAGCCCTGCTCTGAGGACTCATGCAGCCATCTCACAAGATGGTTAGTTATTAAGAAAAACATTTATTTACAAAAGTTGAAATTAAAACAAGATACTTAGGCAACAGAAATAATGTTATGATGAGTAACAATGACAACAACAAAATAATCAGAATGATTCTAGCATATCTATAATAGTACTGACAAGGACATTCCATGAACTCAGACTCTCTCCTTGTTCCATTTAACTTACACTTAACATGATCTTCATTTTCAACTTTCATTCAACTATTACTCCTATGAACAGAAAACTTTAAAGCTTACCACTATGTTACTGAAAATTACATAAGACAAATATTTAATTATATAAGATCAATAGCACATGGACAATGATAATATAGATTATTCTCTAGATTACACATTTCCCAGGATTATTTTATTATAATTACTTTGGAAAAAATGGAAGTAACATTGCACATATGAATATACTGTAGAGTCTCATGAAAGAAAACAGCTTTATAGATCATAATAAATTCATATAAGAGAAATGATAGTAAAAGTATGTTCAGATCCAGGGGGACCTGGAACAGGCAGGCGAGGTGGTGGAGGCATCCTTTACTGTTATGGCAAGAAAGGCCAAAGAGAATAAAGCAAAAAGCCATCACAGCAGACGGGAATGTGAGGTACCTGGTGGGAGCCAGGAAGAGCCCTTCTTTCCTGGTGGCCTCCTCAGAAGTCCAAGACAGCAGGATTCACACACAATTTCAGGAACGTGTTGGCAGCTTTCACCAGAATGGATATGGGGGAACCTGAGAGGAGGGGAGACAAGAGTCAGAACTGTGAGTCAGCAAAGGGGAAGGAGTCCCTTTCCTCGCCCTCCCTCAGTCTAGCTCTGAGCTAGCGTTTTGGTAGTGACTACTGGGACTCTCCATATCCATATTCTGCCAAGCCTAGCGGCACATCTCCTGTAGAGACAGCTGTTCTTCTTAGAGGGAAGGGGAGGGAGGGGACTGTGCTCCTACCTGCATGGTCATGAAGCCAGGCCACCGCTTTCTTCTCCAGAAGTTCCCACTCACACTTCACATCCCTGCTACTGGCATGTAGGCAGAGCACAGCCAGCACTGTGGCCCAGACTACTGCATGTTCATGCTGAACAACATACACAGATTTTCATGATGCCCCAGGCTCAGGGAAGAATCCTCAAGAGAATTCAAAGAGGTTCATCCCTTACTCCCTAACCTGCCCCCAAACTGCTGTTTCATAGCACTCTCTAGTCTGTCCCTATCAGCTAACCACATTTCCATTGCAGCTGGAAATGTCCTAACTGAGAAATTCAGTATAACCATCACTACTGCCCTCAAACACACAATGCATGGATATTTAAGCTATACTAAGATAAGAAAATGTATCTTTAATTTCTTTTCATACAGCATCTTCAGAAATTTTTTTGTATCCCTTCTTTCCTAAAAATGACATAAAGACATATCATTAACCTCTTTTTTCAAAAGATAAAGATAAAAGTGAATTATATAATGTGAAATGATTTTTCCCAAAGCTGCCCTTTTAAAAATGATGGATTCCAGGATGCGGGTTCACTCTAAGACACTGCTATATAGCTAAGAAGAACACAGCCAGCGAGCATGAACTTACCATTTATGAGTCTGTGCTCACTGTTGTTAAAGCTTCAATTTTTAGAATTCACACATTTAAAAACTTCCTCATTTAAAGCGTGACTTTTGTGTCTGAATGCATGAATGCATATGTATGTGACAGTATATGTTTGTGTTAATGTGTGTATGTGAATGTATGTGCATGAGTGTGACTGTGTTGCATGTGTGTGTGCATGTATGTGGATGTGTGCATGTGAGAGCATGTGTGTTTTGGTGGGCATCAGACAATAGGGCCCGTGGTAGTTTGAATGAAAATGTCCCCCATAGGCTCCAAGTATTTGGACATTTTGTCCCCAGATGATGGTGCTGTTTTGGGAGGTTTTAGAAGGTGTGGCTATTCTGGAGGAAGCAGGTTACTGGGGGTGGGCTTAGAGAATTCTTAAGTCTTGCCAGATCTCCAGTTGTGCTCTTGCTTCCTGTGCCTGTGTGATGATCTGAGAGCTTAGCTTCTGCTGCTCCTGCTCCAGCCACCTCCAGCCACCATGCCTCCCTGCCGTAATGGACTGTAATTCCCCTGGAACTGTTAGCTCAAATAAACTCTTCCTTCTATAAATTGCTTGGGTCAGTGTTTCAATCACAGCAACAAAAAAGTGACTAATTCAGGGCCTTATACATTCCAGGGAAGTGCTCTACCACAGAGCTACATCCTCATCCTTTATAATGTTTTAGATTTGTGAACAGTTGTCATGGTTTCTCTGAATACACTAGATTTCTTATTTTCCATTATTTTCTATTTATTACATCAAAAAAAGTTAATGACAGTTTCATATGTCTTGTGGGAAGGGATTTAATTTATCACTTTCTTTGTTTAAGAGTATCCTTTGTTCAATAACCACATATAACAAGAGGAATATTTGAAAACTATTTAATTGTGTTTTACTTAAATAAATCAGAATTATATTTCTTCTTCATTATTTGTCATTTTTGTGTTGAAAGTTTTTTTTTTAAATAGTGTATAGAAGACTCAGTGAGTTCCCTTAAAATTCTGAATATGTTTTATTTGAGTAAGTGTATTTAAGACATTTGAAAGAAAAATGTGTCTCCCGTTAACACTTTGCCTACAATGATTTGAAATACCATTCTCTTAAGTCTGCACTGCATCATCTAGCATGATGAAGCACAATAATGTAATTATTATTGTAGACTCTAAAGACACGCTGGCATAGCACTGAATCCAGTTCTGTATTGACTAGCTCATTCACATTGTTAATTCTCTTAATGTTTTATTTCTTCTCCTATTCAGAGAAACAAGAATAGGGTCTGCTTTGGTTAAATGAAATGAAGAATAAATAAAAACATGAATATTAAGCCTTAGAACAATGTTTGCTACAGGGTAAAGTTCAAAAAATTTTATTTTTACAACTAAGTTTGTTAGAGAATAAGGTTAGACTGAAGATGGTTTTAGTTTTCCCTTCGACATCCAAAAGTTTTACCATGTCCTCCACCAGCTAGCCCATTATTATGTTCTTTGTGCTCTAATGTAATTAGAAATAGTTTCACCCTCTGTACATTACAAGCTAATTCACCTATGCATCATCTTTACTACTCTTTCTCAGGTGGGTCCTGATTTACCCCTGTCACATTATGTACTTAACCCCATGAAATGCATATTCATTTCTTTGTTTTATTTTGCGTCTCACTTTGGCAGGGTTTGCAGCTTGTATGTCTCCCAAATTAGTATCCAGGACCTTGGGTAGATTTTCATCCAGATCCCAGGAACCATTGGCCTTTTGGAGTGAAATCAGCTGTACAACACTCTCTCCAGTAGCTTTGAGGACAAATTAAAAGAAGAGAAAGAATGAAAAATGATAGAGCCGTTGGCTTTGGGCTCCCTGACAGATTATTGAAACAAGAAACAGCAGGGAAGATGTCCACAGGCTGCTTCTAATCTATGAAGGATGGCCAGCAGAGCAGGATTCCAAACAGGATAGCAGCAGAGTCTGCCCAGGCCAGACCTTGCTTATGGATGGACTGTGTATACAGAAATGGCCAAAGGCTACCTGATTCCAGAACTCTGGAAAGTCAAGCACTATAGCATAGATTAAGGAAGCTAATCTTGTCTGGACAAATATAGGGCTTAGACAATTTCACTACTGCCTGTTTCTTCAAATATATTACTTCTTTGGTAGAGAAAAATGCAAGACAGGAGAGCACTGAGAAGTGGTTTACAGTTCCTATTCATCAGAGGAACAATATGAGGCCCATCTAATCTTTTTGGTAATTTTTCATGTCGGTTGCATTAGTGGAAGAAAATGTCTTCTCCATCTCCCCTAAGGACACTTGGGTAGGCATACAATTCACTCTCTTTCTTTGACTTGGACCTTTGAATGCAAATAGATCAGAATCTGTGACGAAAATACACTGCTGAGAAAAACTTTTCCTGGAAATCACCTCCGTGAGACTGACTGTACAGCACAGTGGTTCATACACCTATGGGGATCTTAACCATACAGACCACATTGCATGTCGTCATGATCGACCCCAAGAACATCAGTAGCATGTCTATATAAATGCATAGGAGACATTAAGTGGGAACATCCTTTGAAAGCTGAAACATATAAATCACAAGTAAAGACTGAGTAATTGTCTGTTTTCCACAGCAAGCAAAGATCAAAATGTGTAAAGATTTGAAATGTCAATCCACCTGTCCACAATGGCTTCAATCACTATTTACAATGTCCTATTGCAGGGTGGCTCCCTCCTATCCACACATTCACGCTGAACTCGCTTTATTATTTCTATTGAATTTTCCAAATCCCCTGACAATTGCTAAACAATCATAGCGGCATTAACCTTCAGTACGGGGGCTTATTATTTGAACTATTAGCATAAAATCAATTCATTTGTCCTACAAAACTATTTTACCCCTGTCCCTTGATAATTAGTTAGTGGCCTCCAGAGGGCTGATAAAATGGCTGTCACAATGTGTGTTAGTGGTAGAAGGGAGGATCTGAAGAAAAAGCAGGTTGAAGGCACCACTAGGGACAATTGGAAAGTTGAAGAAGGTAAAAGTATAAATAAATTACAACAGATTCAAATATTCAACGTTTTAGGTATGTCTGCATTATAAGGTTTCATGTGTTCTTTTACTGACTTTACTAAAATTGAAATGGAATAAACTGATTTTCAAGAAAAATTTAGGGATAGCCAGAAATCCTTAAGAAACTCTGAATTTTTTCCTTTAAATAATGTGCTTAGATAGCCAAGACTCCTTATTGTTCATAAGTTTGAATGGGGTGAAACTTAGAATTTCTAGAGTGAGATGAACATGCTTTCACACAAAGTGATGAGAACAGCGTTGACATTGAAATGTTCCTCTGAGCCAGGGGCCCCTGCACTGGCTGGTTGAGCTCCTTGTTTATGGCAACAAAAGCTGTGAAGGAGCTGAGGACTCCAGACAGAATGCTGACTTTCAACACATCTTCTTTGTCACTTTCTGAGGTCTGATGGGAGCCCAAGTCCTTGTTCTGAATCAAGGACTTTGCAGCCAGACGGTGAATGGTGAAACTGAAAGAGAATTTTCCAGAGACCTAAAGAAAACCAACTACAAAGGCAGTTCTCAAGATTCTCATCAGTTAGTGAGGGCAAAGGGAAGACAACATCATAGAGGAAGAGATGACTTGAGGGGATTAGTAAACAGAGCAGTTGGTAGGGACACACTGGAGGTCAGTGAGAAACAAGTGAGCCAAGAACAGCAAAGAAAAAGAAGGGAAGTCAGAGGGGGGGAAAGTGAGTTGGACAAGGTGGCGACTGGAGAAGGGGAGGTGGAACTGAATTCTTACCTGGGATTTGCCTTGGGCTGTAGGGAAAATCTCATCTCTTCCTCAAAACTTTTGCCCTGGAGGGTGTACTTGAGGCACACTTTTCCTGAGGCCTCTGCTTGCTACAAGTTGGAGAATAGCAGCAATGATAAAATAGACAGAAACCAGGAAAATGGTGAGAACTCAACCCAATTTAAGACTAGGAATCAGGTAGCCCAACAGCAGCAGCCTGGTGGTATAGAAAGCTGGCCGTGACTGCTCTTGCAGAAATCTAGAGCAACCTACCAGTGTTAAGGAAACTGCTGGTGCACTGTCCACACAGAGTAGAGGAAATAGCAATAATGGGAACTTACAGGTCAGCTGGGAATAGATGATTAACTTCTGACCTCTAAAGATGACAGTCTGTTCTGGAGCATGCCGGTTAGCAGACAGACCAGCAGGCAAATCCCAGCTAAGACAGATACCCTCCACTGCAGACTGTAGAGCAGACTTCAGGGATCTGAGAGCCTGATGGATGAAAGCGGTGGGGGTTGGGGGGGTGTCAGCATCAAGCACAACAATGATAAATAATAGCTATCATTTTAATGCAGGTTATGGCTAATCACTAAAGCTCAATTGTCAAGGTGCAGTGACCACCGCTTAAGCCTGATGGACTTGGGGACCCCGAGGTATAGGTGCAGGAGAAATCAGGACACAGGCGATGCAGAGGCTTGTGTACCAGTCCATCTTTATTGTGAGCTAAAGCAAACATATAGGAAGCAGATCTGGAGTAACCAAGGAATAACTAAGGATACATTTTGTTGCCACCAAGAATACATTACTTCACCAACCGAATCTCACACAAGGTTTACAGTATCCAAGATTCAGCTACATAATATTTATAATATCTTAGATATAGAGTGTACTGTTTGTGATTACTCTTAGCAACTACTAAAATCTATTATATCTATATAAAAACCAAGCTCGCAGTGCTGAGAAACTTTGGTGCCCATAAACTGAAATAGAACTCTTTAGTTATGTTGCCAAAACTGCTAATTTATCAGGGAAGCACAGCCTGTCAACTCAAACCACAGAAGCAAAGAGCAGGGCAAGTCCCAGAGTGGAAGCATTCTTCCTCCAATTCTAAAGTCAAGCTGTGCCCATAATAGCTCCCAATACGCAATGAGAAAAGCCATAGTTTCTCTTGTTTTGCATAATGGGAAGTTAAAACTGAAAGAGTTAAAAGCAGAGGTGTGAATGAAGAGAATATTTATGAAAGGAGAACCTGCAGAAGTTAATGAGAAAAGGGTTGCCAACTATTAGGAAAGAGAAGCTCACAAATACAGAGATGTCTCCCATCTTAATAAATAAATAATGTGGAGTACCAAGTCATTAAGCCTTCCAGGATATTAGACACACAAAACTTGTTCACCTTTCTGTTGACTCCTTTGCAAGGAGACTAGTTCTCTACCCAATCAGGTCTGAAAGCACACACTGGAATCCCAGACACAGCAACCAAAACATTTACTTTCTCTGTTTCTGGTCTTCAAAACCGAAGTCACGGCCTCTTTCATTATCTCATTTCATTCTCAGCTGCTACAGCCTGTTTTCAGTCTCTAGATATTACAGTGGATCTCTTTCCATCAAAGATGCAAGTAGACACACCAAGCGTACTGCTCAAGACTCTTGAAAATATGTCCTCCAGGAATGTTGAGCACCTGCCTTTGTGTGGAGAGCCACAGCCTCCGCCGCCATTACAAGATGGCGCCGGTATCCGGACCTTCTTAATAGTAAACATCCTGCTGCACCCATAAGGGGCGTGCACAAGAGCCTGCTCTCCCTCGCCTCCTCCCGTGGCGTGATCTCCAGCAACCAATCCGCTTCTTATACATCATAAATGGGACCTTTGGGGCATATATAAGCAACAGCTCTCCCACTTCTCGGCGTCTTCGGTCTTCATCCTTAGTATGCTATGTAAGAGGCTTATGAAATAAACTGCTGCAGAAGGATCCTGACTTGTCCTCCCGCGTCGTTCTTGCCGGCGAGACGGAAAGCGGT